GACGGACAGATGGAGGGAGGAGCAGCAGCCTAGCGCTTGAGGACAGCGAAGGAAAGGATGAAGGACTCTGCTGGGATGTGCACAGACTCCGGCTCCCGAGTGGCAGAGGACGGCGCGGGAGCGACGCGGGCACCCAGTGGACATCGCCCAGCTCTTCGCCTGTGCCCCACGGGCGCCCATGTGTGAGTGCGAGGTGCGTGGGTGCGTGCATGCCTTCATCTTGGGGGGGAATGGGGCTGCCTGGGGGCGGCTGGACTCTCCCATCCCGTCCCACTGGGAAGGCAGGGATGGATGCTCGCCCCGAGCCCGCAGCGGAGCCTTCGGCCCCTGGCCGGCAGCTCTGAGGTTTTGCTTCGTTATTTTTCCGACGGGTTGGGAGGGCTGGGAGGGCCGGGGCCAGTCTGGACAGTGACTTGTAGTTAGGAACATGGGCTAGTTATCTGCTGTCTGGTTTGACTTTAATTTTTGGAAAGTGACTTTTGTCTGCGCTCCGGCCAGGAAACCAATTGTACTCAGTATCTGTCGCCACCGAAATAGCATTCTTCAACCAGTCTGTTTTTCTTCTTTTTTTTTTTGTTTTGTTTTGTTTGTGTGCGTGTGTGTATGTGTGTGTGCGACCTCTTCATCTGATGTTTAATAATAAAAGGGATGAACATTACCATGCGTATGTACCGTGTTTCTCTGAAGCCAGAGGGATCTCCAGACAGCCTCATGTTGCGTGCAATGCAAGCATGGCACATCCCCGGTGTATGCAGCATCTCAATCCCCCCTGTGGTACCCAGCACCCCAAGAAGGCTCACAGAGAATCATGTGCAATCCAGGATGTGATTCCTCACTGTGCTCAATCCACTCTACAGCTGCCCTGTGTGCTGTGGGATGTGTTGTTGTATCCCCAGGCTCAGGATACTGCCAACACCCAGCTTTGCTTTTTGCAGTGGGTGCTGAGCCCCAGGCACAACTGCTTGTGGGGAACAGAGGAGATGAGATGTGTGGCTGGGGGATGGTCCCAGAAAGGCTATGTGATGGCCTTGCTAACACTATGCTATCAACTGCTATTGCAGCCAGCATGGCAGCATCTGGTGGTGCTGGTGCCTGGAGGGTGCTGGCTGTCTCCAGGTGAGTCCTGCCAGGTGGACCACCAACTTCATAACAACCTGAATCACGGTCATGCTGCCCATTTCCACCTGAGCAGGGCTGTGGCATTGGTTGTTGAGGGCTTTGGCAGTGCTCATGCTGAGCCCAGGGTGGCATGGGATATAAGCCCTGAGCTCCCCATGAAAGTGCCAGCTCTAGGCACCCCTTCTCCCCTGGCAGGGCTGAGTGCATCCCTAGTGCCAGGAGATGGCCATTGCACTGAGCACATCCCCTCTTGCAGGTACATAGCATAACAATGCATAGACTGCAAAGGAACAGCGACCCTGCTTCCCTGGTATCCCTGCTTCCCCATCAGTGTCCCCTCACCAGCAGGATGGGGATCAGGGTCTCCTTGGCCTCACATGCTAATCTTTTCCAAGGCCGATTCCCTACTCCCAGCTAGAGCCATGCAGATGCTGTGGAGAAGGTGCTAGTTTAATGCTGCATCACAACCTGGAGCAAGCTACCCTGTGACAAAAACATATTCAGGGTAGTTGTGCACAACCTGAAGTCCTGTCCCCAGGCTCAGCCATGTTTATTGATGTGGCGGGAATGAGCATGCACAGCCTCCACAAAGGCACCCACGTGCTCAGGGTTCATGTCTGGGTAGAGGCCGTGACCCAGGTTGGCAATGTAGCGTTGGGTTCCAAAGCTCTCCAGCATTTTCTTCACCAGCTCGCCAATCTTCTCCTGTAGATGTCACAGGAGACCATGTATCAGTCTCAGCAGGTTGATACACCTGTCCCCACCAGTCCTGCCCCCATCAGCCTGGGACATGAGCCAAGGTCACAAGAGGGGAAATGGGGGCAGGAGGCCCATGGCTCACCTTGGGTGCATAGAGAGCACAGGGATCCAGGTTTCCTTGCAGGGTGACACCTTTCCCTACCTGTGCACTGGAGCAGGGAGGAAACAGGTGAGTTGCTGTGTGTGATGCAGAGATCAGGGGCAACTGTAGGACCCCTAGAGCAGCTCCTGGCTGCTGTGAGCTTCACACAGCACTGGAGCCTGGCATCCCCTCCTCTGCACCAGAAAATTCCAGGCCTGCGATGCAGCAGGGCAGCCACGCAAAGTAAGAGTGCTGTGCCAGACTCTTACCGAGCTTCCTGGGGCTGGATGGTCCAGTCAAGACCGACAACCTCGTAGCCAGCTTGTGCCAAATCACGCAGTGCGTAGTGTGCATCCTTCGCAAAGACAATCTGGGGAAGGAGGAGATGGGCAGTAACTCCAGGGGATGGAATCCAGATGCCAGGGACAATGAGAGACACAGGTACAGACACTGTCACACTGCTACCTTGGTAGCAGCCCTTTGTACCCTCTCCCAGCCTCCCCCTCAGCCATAATCCTCCATGCACTCCCAGGAAACGGGGACATCCCAGGCAGCTTGGATTTACCATGGGCACCAGTGGCAGTGCCTCTGCTTTCAGCTTGCTCTTAACATCCCGGGCGATGTCTCGGATGTATGGCAGGGCGAACTCCTGAAACTGTTCTGGGCCTAAATGCCCTGCATGGGACTCAAACAGTTGGAGCGCCTGTTGGATAAAAAGGGCCGGGTGAGCTGCAGGTACCATGTAGCGCCTCGGTCCCTCATCCCACAAGCTGGACCCCTCTGCTTCTTGTCCCCAGTCCCTGCCCTCCTGCTAGGACCTGTCCCCATGCCCCAGGACACACCTGCGCTCCAGCAGCCACCTGCCCCACGAGGTAGTCAGTGACAACATCAGTCAGCAGCCGTAGCAGTCGGTGGCTTGCTTCAGGGTGACGGTACAGCCAGCTTTTGGCCTTTGCCATTGTAGCAGAGCCACCCCCTTCAACCATGTAGGACATAAGCGTCCACTGCAGGAAGGAGAGGAGCAGGGTGAGATGGAAAACATGTGAAAGGGTTGGTTGTGGGATCGGTGCTGAAGAAGGACTTGTGTACACGAGCAGCAGCCCTACGCATTCCCTGCCTACAAGCTGGTCCTTGCAGCTCTGGAGGTGCCAAGACCAGCATTACTCCAGAGGGAAGAGCAGAAAAGCCCACTTTGCAGACCCATATCACTTACAGGTGCCCCAGAGAAGCCGATGAGGGGCACCTTGCCCTCCAGGCTGTGCCGTGTCAGTGTGATAGCCTGGAAGACGTAACCCAGTTCTGCAGTCACATCCACTTTCTGCCGTAGTTTCAGTAGATCCTCCACCTCCTTCAGGGGCTCTGGAAACATGGGTCCTTTGCCGGGGACCATGACAACCTCCATGCCCAGTGCCTGGCGACAAGGTAGAATGGAAAAGGCAGGAATATGGCAGTTCTGGATCCAGCCCCATACCCAGTCATTGCTCCCCACCACTGACTGTGACTCACCTGGGGCACCACCAAGATGTCAGAGAAAATGATAGCAGCATCCAGGGGGAATCGTCTGAGTGGCTGTGGATAGTGGAGAGAAAAATGTAGAGTGGGTGAGGGTTTGAGTCCCTCTCCCTGTGAGGGCTGGGCACACACGTGGGGTGCAGTGGGATCCCCAGGGTGGGGCAGGGCCCTATCTGATGCTGGGGGTCACTCCGTGGATCAACTTGGGGACCTTGAGTCAGGTTTTGGGCTGCACAACTTACTGAGTCACTTGAGGCTAAGGGCCAGACCTAAAGTTTCTTCCACCTCTATCCCAAGAGAGGAAATGGGACACAGCCCCTCCAGAGAACAATCACCTGCAACGTCAGCTCACAGCACAATTTGGGACTCCGGCAAGTGTCAAAGAAATCCTGAGCGGCCCGGGTCTCCCGAAACTCTGCAAGGAACCAGCCATGGTGACAAGCAGTGTGCTGGCTTTCCATTGCCCCCAGCCCCCAGCCCTGTACACCACCCCTCACTCACCAGGCAGGTAGCGTCCCGCCTGCCGCATGCACCACACTGGGGTGTGTTCTGTCTCCTCGCCGCGTGCCGCACGCAGGAACGTGTCATTCTTCAGCTTGGGGAAGCCCTTGGGGCTGCAGGAGGGACAGCAGACAGGGCTCGTCATCATGAAGGGCGCTGGGCACCCCAGAAGGTCCCTGGGGCAGGGCCGGTGGCTCCCCGGCCAACGGCTGCAGGGAAGAGTTTGCTCCAAGCTGGGACCATGGTGACAAACGCTGACTCTGTCACCCGCCAGGGCCTCTTCCGGGGCAGCAGGGCCCTGCTAGGGGACAGGCGATGCCTGGCCCGGGGCTCTTCGAGATTACGTTATCACTGGCAGCAGCTGCTCCCGTAGGGGGAGGCTGGGGGCCTGCAGGGCCCGGCGCTATCTGGGCTCACACGCCACACGTCCCCAGCCTGCTCCTGAGCTGGGCCCCAAGGAGGGGACGCACGTGGGGGGCATGCAGGGCTCAGCCCTGCCGCGATGGGAGGCAGCCAGAGGACAGACCCCAACACCTCCAGAGCGGGGCCACAGCGGTGCTGGGATCAGCGCCCTCAGGGCCGCCCCGGGTGTCTCCAGCTCGGTGCCGCAGCAAGGCGCTCAGGGTCGCTGATCCCGGTGCCACCCCTCTGTCCGCAGCGCGGGATCGCAGTGCCGCGCACAGCTGACCGCGCGAGGGACCCCGGGGCCACCCCGGTGACAGGCGCCCGAGCCCCACGCGCAGGCACCACGGGGTAACCCCGCGCCCGGTAACTTACAGGAGCCGCTCGCCGCCGTCCATCCCGCGTCGCTTCCCGCCCCGCCCTCGTCCCCGCCCCGCCTCGCCCCGCCCCGCGGTCGCCGCCATCTCACTGTAACCCCACCCCTCCGTACGCCGCACGGGCGCCGCCATCTTGCCCCGCCCTCATCCCTCCGTGCGCCGCCATCTTGCTTCGCTCCCCGCTTTTCCGTACAGTTCGTGGGCGCCGCCATCTTGCCCGCGGGCGCCGCCATCTTGCCTCGGCGGCGGGCGGGGTTTGCCGTAAAGCCGCGAGCACCGACCACCCCCCCACCTTCCCTCACTCCTGACGCCGGTGCGCGGCTCGGAGGTGCGGAGCGCAATGCGGGCGGGCGGAGAGGCTCCGCACCAGGTGCTGGGCCGGCTGCGGTTCCTGCTGCAGTGCAGCGAGTGCTTCCGCAGCGCCCGGCCGCTGCCCGCCGCGCTGTGCTACGTGCCCCGCGAGGTGCAGTACAAGATCTGCAAGGACCCCGCGGCCGCCGCCTCGTCCCGCAGCCTGCTCAGCGTCTGGGACGGCCCCGGGCCGGCGCGGGGCTCCAAGCGGGCGGCGCGAGCCACCATCGAGGTGCGGAAGGGCGGCTGCCTCCGCGCTACGGGCGAGGAGTACTGCAACGGCGCGGGGCTGTGGGTGAAGCTCAGCAAGGTAACGGCCCCGCGCTGCGTGGCGGGGCGCCGGGCCGAACGCGGGGCGGAGGGCGGCTTGGGGCCCGCGGTGGCTGCGGAGGGGCCCGGCGCCCGGAGCTAGGGTGGAGGGCCGACCCCTGTCGGCGCCTCGCTTCCCCCCCCGCCGCCTCCGGTTGTCCTCCGGCCGCCTCCCTCCGTGCCTCGTCGCTCCTGTCGCCGCCCCGTGCCCCCGTCCCTTTCGGGCGCAGGCCTTGGCGACGCCGTGAGGCCCGGGGCCTTGCGTGCGGGTTCGTGCCTGTGGAATCGTGCCGTCATTCAGGACGGAAAAGATCTCTGAGATCGCCCAGTCCGACCCCACCCCTGCGTGCCCAGTGAGCGCATCCCCACGGTTGTGGAACACCTCTGGGTACGGTGACCCCATCACCTCCCTGTGCAGCTGTGCTGCTGCATCGCTGCTCTTTAAGAGTAGAAATTGTTCTTAATATCCAGCCTGAACCTTTCCTGGGGAGACTTAAGGCTACTGCCTTTCATCTAATTGCTGTTACCTGGCAGGAGAGCCCAACCTCTGCCTTAGCACAACCTCCTTCAAGGAGTTGTAGAGATCCAGGGGTTCCTTACAGGATGTATTTTCCCCTACAGGAGCAGCTGGAAGAGTACAAGAGCGGCTGTGATCTGGAGGAAGGCTGGGTCCTGGTGTGTAAGCATGCAGAAGGAGGGGACAGGCTGGTCCCAGTTGAATCCACAGAGAGGATCCAGAGGCAGCAGCAGTTGTTTGGGGTTGATTACAAACCTGTGATCAGGTATGGGGTTGTGGCTCACATCTACCCTTCCACATAGGTTGTGGAAAGTGATATGATTCCCAGGCTGCTTTATAAGCACGTGTCTAGCATCTTGCATTCCTTGTAGCTGGGAAAGGTGCAATACGCAGGAAACCTCAAAATCTGTCTCCAGAGTCTGACTTAGAAAAGAAATCAAGGTTTTGCTGCCCACAGTGAGAAGCTGGAGAAGCCTTAAACCTGAGATCCCTATTTTAGAGCCTTGAGCTTATTTGTAATCTGAGCCTACTGTCTTTATTTGATGTCTCGGTTCCTTGCATGTATGAGAGCAGAGAAGTTCTCATCTGCTCATATTGTGCTGCTTGAGATTTTGATGTATTTTCCCTCGGTTCTTTGTGTTTTGGACTGAAAAGTCCCAGCCTGCTTGGCCATTTCTTATATTAAAGTGACGCAATAGGGAACCCAGACATGGAGTTACTCAGTTCTGCTCTGTCATTTTCACCAATGCAGCTGGGGCTATTGACTAGAAGAAGTAAAGACTGTCTGAACAGAACAGGCGTGTGATAAAGATATGATGGAGGATGAAATGTGGTGTGGCTTTAAACCTGAATCTTCCCCTTCCACCTACTTTTCGAGTACCTGCTTTTTTTCCCCTGGGATTCTCTCATTCCATCTTGTTTCAGGTGGGAGCAAGTGGTGGATCTGACTTACTCCCTGCGCCTGGGAGCAAAACCCAAGCCCATGGACCAGGATGAAGCTGCAGTAGAGAAGCTTCGGTAGGAGCTGTTTCATGGTGTCTGCACACTTCAGCTGTGGGTGGGTACAAGCTGCTTTCTCTCCCTTGCTGCTCAGACAGCCTTCTCTTGTAAACTGAGGTGTGGAGCAAGACAGGCAGTGGAGAAGCTGAGCTCTGCTTAACACAGTCTTGTCCTAGATAAGTCAGCATGAACCAGAAAACAAGATGAAGATCAAGGCAGACATGGGCCTACCCATGTCCTGACCCATTCACCTGGCAGGGGTTGATACAGCCTTGCTGTCCCTGGGTCTCTAAGATCATTAACCTCTTTGTCCTGGTAGGTTTGTGCCTCCAACATGGACTTACGAATGCGATGAAGACCTAGTGCATTTCTTGTATGATCATATTGGGAAGGAGGATGAGAACTTGGGCAGCGTCAAGCAGTATGTGGACAGTATTGATGTCTCATCCTACACGGTGAGTAGTTTGTAGGGTAAAGGGACAGGGCTTGATCAACCCTGCTGTGCCATGGGGCTGGGGAGTGTGCGTGGTGGGTGTGCTGTCCTACTCTGGGATGGGCTGGTCTGTGTTATGTGGATGTGGGGGATAAGGCGGAGTTTTGGAAGGGGAATGCAGCTCCTGGATGAACTGTGCAAGCTGTGGTCTGATAAGTAAATACTAATGCTAGCTGCTAAGCTGATTTTAGGGAGAGTTTCATGCTCTTATGCATGTGACATCACAGCACCTTAGCAGGCCAGCCCCAGTGTCTTGTGCTGTCTGTGCTCCCTGTGTCTACCCTGAGGCCAGCAAATAGGAACGGGCCAGTTTGATACCCTCTGGCTCTATGATTCATGACAAAAGTAGCCACTAAGGAGAAACAATCCTATCCCTCTCTGACTTTCTCCTCATTCACTGTCCTTTTCCAGGAAGACTTCAATGTGTCGTGTCTGACGGACAGCCATGCTGACACGTACTGGGAGAGCGATGGGTCGCAGGGCCAGCACTGGGTGCGGCTCAACATGAAGAAAGGCACCATTGTCAAGTGAGGCATCTCTCCCTTGTGTGCTGGCTCACTGCTGGGATGGGCACTGCAGCCCCTGTGCTGTGCATGAGTCCATCGTGGCCCTAAGTTACCGTGCCCTCCCTGCTCCTTGTCCTGTGCTCTGGCTTTGGGTTTGAGCAGCTCTTAGCCAGTGTTGTCACAGGTACCTGGGGGTCTCAGTGCCATCTGCATGTGCTTGGTACAGGTGTGGCCAGGCCGTGAGGGAGGAGCAGTGGTAGTTGTTCAGAAGCAGAGCTCTCTCTTCATTTCTTGTTTCCTTTTGCAGGAAGCTCCTGCTGACTGTTGATACCACTGATGAGAACTTCATGCCCAAGCGCGTCGCCGTGTACGGGGGTGAGGGGGACAATCTGAAGAAACTGAACGATGTTGGCATTGATGAGTGAGTGGATGGAGGTGGGAAGTGTAGTGTGGCCCTTCCGAGGGCTTGAGGCACTGGGCATCCCAACTACAGGCTGTCACGCCAACTGCAGCCTCACTTTAGCGGCTCAGGGTCTTGGGAGAGGCATTTTCCATCTCTCCAGTCTAACACTTTGAAACCCCATTCCCAGTTCCTGGAATCCTGGCCTTTCATATGGGGGGACTTGCTGACGGTTAGCAACTGGCACGGCTGGGTTAATTCAGAGAGCTGTGCTGTCTTATTGAACAAGACATTGCCTACGCCTGAGGTAACAGGAGGTTTGGATATTCGTGTGAGCTGTGTGGCACTGCTGGTCTGGGTTTCTCCTGCAGCCTCCCGTTCTAAAGGATGCAACTTTTTCCTTACAAGCAGCCGAGTGAATTTTGACAGGTTGGGCAAGGGAACAGCTCTGCAGCCTCTGTCTGTGCTGTGCTTGCAGGAGTTACATTGGGGATGTGTGCGTCCTTGAGGACATGACAACACACCTGCCTGTCATCGAGATCCGGATTGTGGAGTGCAGAGGTAGGGCTAGGAGTTATGGCCACATCTATAATGCACCTGTGAGATACTGTACAGTGAGCTTATTTCTGCAGCTTGTACTTGGCCAAGTACTCCAGGGCAACTTGAAGATTTGCGAGCCTTGTGCTTTCAGCCTGTTTTTCTTTTCCTCGCCTCTGATTTTGTTGTTTTTTTTCTCCTCTTCTTTAAATTCCTCATTTCCGCACAAAGGTCTTTCAAACTCAGTGCTCAGCCCCAGAGCTGGTGAAGCTGGTCATGCTCCTAGTGCTTCTACTTGGAGATGGTACTGACGTGCTGCAGCTGGAAGGCTTACTTTCTTGTAGGCTTAGCGTATTATCTGTGGTCTTCCTTTGGCAGATGATGGGATTGATGTTCGCCTTCGTGGCATCAAAATCAAATCCTCCCGACAGAGGGACTTGGGGCTCAGTGCCGACATGTTCCAGCTGGCCAATTTAGTACGCTACCCCCGCCTGGAAGGGACAGACCCTGACCTGCTGTACCGGAGGGCAGTGCTCATTCAGAGGTACTGTATGGGAGTGCAGGGGTGGTGCTGTCTGCAGTGATTGGTGCCCTCTGCAGTGCAAGTAATGGCTGGGAGCTCAAAGCTCAGTGACTCCACCTGGAATGGGCATCCTGGGCCTTGGAGAAAATAGCAGAGGTTTTCTTGGGTAGCTTCCATACGTTTTTAAGAGGACTCTTGCAGCTCAAGTTCAACGTTCTGTGTGTTGCAGGTGCAGCATATCTGTGTTGTGGGGGAAATAGGGGGGCAGATGCACACAGAGTCCCTTGCAAGGGGTGTGTAGTTGCTGCAATGGGAATTTAGTGCTACAGGCTCTGAGATTTAAAACATCAGTGACTTGTATTTGGATCAGTTGTTACTTTTCTGTTTGTGTCTGGAGTGCCTGGCCTGGAATAGGTTTGTGAAGGCCCCTTTCCCTTCAGGGTGTTGCAGTACCTTCTTCTTTGGGATTTAGGTTCATCAAGCTCCTGGATAGTGTCTTGCATCACTTGGTGCCAGCCTGGGACCACACTGTAGGCACATTCAGCAAACTCAAGGTGAGTTCCTCTGTGTCTTGTGGGGCCTCAATGAGGCAGAGCAATTGCACTTGGGCTGTGGCAAGGGAGACAGGCAGCGCTTGTTGCTTTTAAAGCAGCTCAAGGGAAATACCTGGCTGAGCTCCTTTCATTAAAGCCGTGAAAGGCGATATTGTTTTGAGACTGTTTTCCTGCTAGAACATTGATGTGGAAATGTTGTAGCTATGCAGTAAAAAGAATGAAACCAAGGCTCTGGGGGTGAGAGCACATCACCCAAAAAAGGACTCAGAGCGTAGCTGCACTGGGTGTGTGAGCTGGGCATACGTCCCCTCGTAGATCCCAGCCCAGCACACTCTGTTCCCGTACTTGCTGCCAGCAGTTTTGAACTGTCTGTGTCTGAATGGCAGGGCTTCTTACCAGTAACTACTTTTCTGGCTTTTGATTCGTGTCTTTCTCGTAAGACTCAATCATCCTTCCAGTTGTCTGTTTTCTTCACATTCTCTCCCAGAATGTGCCGGGCACTGCTAGGGTAGTCCAACTCTGTGTGCTTCCAGGCCTAGTGCTATAGAACACTGTAATCCCTGTGCCAGCTTAGCCTAAAACCCAGAGTGTTTAAGGATTCTTGTTTGTCTAGCAGAGCTTGGTTTCATTACAAGTAGGAGGAATAGTAAGACTCTTGTTCTGGTGAAAGTGAGGGAGAGTCCAAGCAACATTAGAGTGTGAGTATCAGATGACTGCTGATGGAGGGAGAATTGGGCTCGGTCTGTCTCTTAAGCCAGAAAGGAAAGTTTTTGGAGACAGAAGATCAGCTAGAGAAAATACTGTTGAGGAGAATGTGGCTGTGTGTGGGAGATTGTGGTTCTGGGGAGAACCTAGGAAGTAGGTAATGTGCTTTGGGCGCTGGACACTTCTGACGTTTAGAACTTACCTGTTGGCAGCATATCAAGCAGTTCTTGTTGCTGTCCAAGAGGCGCACGGCTCTCATTACACAGTGTCTGAAGGATTCAGAGACAAGCAAGCCCAACTTCATGCCACGGCTCTACATCAACCGACGTCTGGCTATGGAGCACCGAGACAACCCTGCCTTGGATCCCAGCTGCAAGAATGCTGTCTTCACTCAGGTATTTCTCCTTCTGGAGAGGAGCTCATGCTTTGAGGAGAGTGGAGCATCCTAAAACCAAAATGAACCAGGGGGAGGTGGGTGGAGGGAAGAGCTTGGGAGCTAGAGTTACCTGGTGACTTCAGGGCTTCTTTACGTGACTCGTAGGCTCTACAATTACATGTGCTGATGATCTCTTATCCAGGAATATCTGAATATCAGAGCTGATGTCTTTGTTCTGTATTAGGCTTTGTTGTTGACACGTTGCTAATGCAGAGCATAACAATCTTATTACACTGAAAGGACAGTAGAGACTTCTGTGACAATAATAACGCAGCTGCACACAGTCCTGTGGTATTACAGCAGCTCTAATATTCCTCTTGTAGTTCTCCCTCTGCCTCCAAAAGATCTATTGCTCAATGTGTGCACAAACAGTTTTCAGTGTGCAAATGCATTTAGTGTACCTCTGAAGCTAGGAAGCTGCAAGTGGTGTAAAATACTGTAATTATGTCATGTTTTCAGAAGTGAAGGGCCCCTAGGCCATTTAGGGGTTAGTTTCAGTCAATATTTAAGGGTTTGAAACAAACGAGATTCCTTCCAATTTCCAGTCTTCACTTGGCACCATTTCTTCTGGAGAGGGGATACCAGCTTTGATCTCTACTTGTTGCAGGTGTATGAAGGCCTGAAGCCCTCTGACAAGTTTGAAAAGCCTCTAGATTATAGGTAAGCCACATTGGGTGTAGGGAGGGGATCAGTACTGGGAGCATGTCCTCTTTAACAGCAGGGTGTTTGGCAAGCACCTGTGTGCCCTTTGTGCCCTCTGGAGAGGGTTTGCTAGGTCAGGAGCCAGCTCAGACACGGGACAAGGGCCTGTTCTCCCAAGGTGTTTCCTCCCTTCTGAGATTGCTGACTTGAGACTGAGGTTGTCTTAAGCCCAGGCTGCTATGCCCTAGGCCTCTGGCTTCCCTGCTCTGCCTGCTGCCTCCTCAGTTTCTCCTTGGATCTGAGTGCACGGAGCACCCCCAGCAATTCAGGCCTGCCTGGTTTTCTACAGGTGGCCGCTGCGTTACGACCAGTGGTGGGAGTGCAAATTCATCGCAGAGGGAATCATTGACCAAGGTAGGGGATGTGTGGGCAAAGGGGCAGACTTGGAGGTTGACGGTGCAGTTGTTGCTGCAGGGGCTCTCATTTGCTCCTGGTGTTATTGCTGCTGCAGGAGAAAGGGAAGGCAGGTCACCTTGTCCTGCCACCCTCTGCAGTGCTGTGCATGAGGAGTACTGCGTGCTGACACTGGTGTCAGACCTCCATTAGTCACTAGCAGCAGCTTTGACAGTGGCTGTCCTACATGGGCCAGGCAGTGGTGTTACTTCTATTGTCTTGTTTCCCGTGGTGCCTTAGGGCTGTGACAGGAGTCTGCTATTTAGCTCTGGACTTTGTTGGATCAAAACCCCTAATCTTGCTTCTGTGCTCCTGAGAGTCAGCACACAAGCAGTTTTATCACTAAAAATGCCATTCTTCTGGGATTGCAGGTGGTGGTTTTCGGGACAGCCTGGCAGACATGTCGGAGGAGCTGTGTCCCAGCTCAGCAGACACTCCTGTGCCCCTGCCCTTCTTTGTGCGCACATCTAACCAGGTGCTGTGGATTGGGATGCTTGAGGCAGAAAGTGGAAAGTGCCCAAAATTGTGCCTGACAAAGCAGAACTGTTCGTATCCCCCTTCATGCCTGAGATGTATATCTTTGCTAGTCCAAAGCCTATTCTCATTAACTACAAAGGACTGAGTATGTTGCTTTGTGACATCTGGTTTTAGGATAATTTGATAAGTGCCTTACTAGGAACATTGCCACGGAGATTATGGGGTCTAGCCCTCTTCTGTTGTGGAAAATTCCCAGTGTCACTGCAAGAGCTGCTTGTAGTTCTTCATGCTGGGCTGAGTGTTGACTCTTATGCTTGTAGGGTAACAGCACTGGAGAAGCCAGGGACATGTATGTCCCCAACCCCTCCTGTAAAGACTTCCCAAAGTATGAGTGGATTGGGCAGATCATGGGAGCAGCTCTGAGGGGCAAGGAGTTTCTGGTGAGTTTTAAACCCCGTCTCTGTGTGGAGGTTTGCCACAAAGGGAATTGCCAGTCCTCTTGTGCCACTTGTTCAGCAGGAACATGGGAAGGTCCCTGTGATCATGCACTGGGACAAAAGGTGTCTGTCAGGGTTTGGGGCTGAGAGCTCACAGCCTGAATTTGGTGAGATGCTGCAGGGAACCTGAGGGAGGGGGTCTTGTCTCTGCTCAGTTCTGTGTAGGCCAAGGTACCTGATGAGCCCTGCATGTAGACAGGGAATGTGGTGGAACCTCCACCGTGGTTGAACCCCATCTCTATCCTTGGGGCTATCTCCTTTCTCACAAACTCAGCAGAACTGCTGTTCTCCTTCAGGTCTTGGCTCTTCCTGGCTTTGTATGGAAACAATTAACAGGGGAGGAGGTCAGCTGGAGCAAAGACTTTGCTGCGGTGGACTCGGTGCTGGTGAGAGGCTGGTGAAAGGCTGTGCCTGTGCCTATTCCTTGTGACGCTCTGCAAGACTGTGATTTGTGTACTTGCTCCTGTGTTGTACTTGCATTTTCCAGTGATGAGTTGACGAAAAATGCACAGAGAGGGCATTATTAGCATTTAATACATCTCACAGCTGATACAGACAAAGCAGTGCTGACTCGCTTTCAGCACACACAATGCCCCAAGGTCTGCTAAAGCAGCAAGTGCAGCTGTAGGGCAGCATATCTCATGCTGCACTGTTGTCTCAGTCATTCTAGCCCCTGTCTGGGGAAAGCAGATGATGAGGGACCAGGTATATTTCTGCCCACTGGGCATCTCTCTAACAAGCCCTCATCTGGGCAGGTGAAACTCCTGGAGGTGATGGAAGTGATGGACAAAGACACTTTTGAGTTCAAATTTGGGAATGAGCTGACCTACACGACAGTGCTGAGTGACCAGCGCATGGTGGAGCTGATTCCCAATGGCAGCAACACCGTGGTCCGCTATGAGGACCGTAAGGAGTTCATCCATCTGGTACAGAAAGCTCGACTGGAGGAGAGCAAGGAGCAGGTAATGCTCTTCCATAGTGTGAGTGGCCACTGAATTTCCATAGACAGCCAGTGTGTGTAGTGCTTAATGTCCCTGTGCTCGTTAGTGCAATAGCACACAGTCCTTTAGGGTGGTGGATGGCAACATAAGAAACAGAATTTTATTCCCAGCTCCAATACAGTCTTCCTAATTGAACTGGAATGCGTTTCTCTGGGATCCTATTCCCCTCTGCTGGTCCCATGGAGCATGGGAGCAGTCACTTGGCTTCAGTTCAGTAGCACTTGGGCTCAACCCTGAGCCAGGAAAGTAGGCAAGACACACTGCTCACCTGCCTTGCTTCTTTTTCAGATCATGGCTATGCAAGCTGGGCTGTTGAAGGTAGTACCCCAAGCTGTTCTTGACCTCCTCACTTGGCAGGAGCTGGAAAAGAAAGTCTGTGGAGACCCTGAAGTCACAGTTGATGCCCTGAAGAAACTCAGTAAGTGAAGGCCCTCTGCTGAGAGCTCATTCCCTGAAAGCAGAATGACTGTCTTCCTTCCCATGCTGGGCCAAGGGGGCTGTGGGATGCACATAGTAGCTTTTATTATGATGACAGAGTGGGTCTGTGGTCTTCTTGCCCTTAGTTGAGTGCTAACAGGATCAGGAAGGGTCCATGGATATGAACGGGATGCCATGCTCTAATTTATCCAGGAGGAGCTGAGATCTCTAAAACTCCTTTTCTGTATCCTCTGGCAGCTCGCTTTGAGGACTTTGAGCCACTGGACACCCGCGTTCAGTACTTCTGGGAAGCACTCAACAACTTCACCAATGGTGAGTGATTTGCTCTGCCACTGCACATCTCCTCATGCTGTGACAGCCCCTAAGTGCTGGCTGGGAACTGAGGGATTGAAACCACCCTCGTTGCTGCCTGGAACAGATGGGAGCCAAGCAGAGCAAGCTACTGGGACAAAGGAGATACCTGCAAGTGGCTGTGCTTGATCTCATATTGCCCTGGCATCTGTTGATACCTTTGTTCTCCCTTCACAGAGGATCGCAGTCGCTTTCTCAGGTTTGTTACTGGCAGAAGCCGCCTCCCAGCACGGATCTACATCTATCCTGACAAACTAGGGTGAGTCTGTTTCTTTTTCAGACTGCAAGGCTAACGGACCAAACGAATCTGTGGTCTGCTCTTTTCTTCCTTGTTGGTTTGTTGATTCTAACCAGTTTGTCACCTTTCCTCAAGCTCTGAGACGACAGATGCATTGCCAGAGTCATCCACCTGCTCCAGTACCCTCTTTTTGCCCAACTATGCCACGTAAGTGTTGCAGCTTCTCTGCCACTGGGGGATTCTGTGTCTGGGCTCTCAGCCTCTATGCTGACCCACAGAGCCCCATTGCTTTACCACGCAACAGCGTCATGTGGCTACTGTGATATTTTTTAATTTTTTTTGTGAGCAGCTTTTGAAGCATAGCCTTCATCTTGTCATCTCAGATGCAGAAAAGGCAATTCCTTCTTGTCTTTTTTTTTTTTTTTCTTTCCCCTCATCCCTCCCTAGAGCCAAGGTATGTGAAGAGAAGTTACGCTATGCGGCCTACAACTGCGTGGCCATTGACACAGACATGAGTCCATGGGAGGAGTGATGTTGCAGCCTGACCAAGCAGCATGGACAATCACTTGACAAAACCATACAATGGGAAGAGCTCCCTTGTTCCCCCAGGTTATGTATATATAATAAACATCTAGGTCTGAAGCCTGGCTTCCTGCAGTGGTAACCAGTACCACTTTGGACACAGACATTTGGAACTGGCTTGGAGTGTAAATGTTATTGCAGTAATGAAACCCTGTTCCCAGCCCTCATTCATCAGAAAGGCCGGGTAGGCTTTTGCAATGAGTTTCTTCTCCCAGTGTTCCCATTGCAGCTCCATAACTTGCTCTTGCTCTTCCTGGGCTGTGCTGTGCTTTGCTCCAAACAGAAGTGGGTAGGGCTACAGAGTTGCATGGCAGGTTGTGGTATGGGACAAAGAACTGTGAGCTGCAGCTGAGAGCATTTGGTGTACAGAGGTCACTGTGCCCTAGCCCAAGTGTCCTGACTGCATTCCTTTGCTTTGTTCCTGCTTTCCCATGAGGTCATGGACATGAGATCATTCATGTACGCTTGAGAAGTGAAGCAGACCGGTGGTGGGTGCTGCAGGGGTGCCTTTGGCCACCAGGTGTCACGACAGGCTTGCACAGTGAGAATGTGGGTGCTGTGGGGTGCTATTATGTCACACAGAACCTGTGACCACCCGTGGTTCTCCGCACCATTGCACAGCAGCAACTGCTGGGGGAGCTGCTCCCCTGCAGGAGACGGGAATGATTTGCTTTTCTCCCTCTCTATAGTCTTCTGATTCTGCATTCTGCCCAGGGCATGCTGGTAGCCTAGCAGCTGTTCTCCCAGGCTCTTTGAGCCTAAAAGCCTGTGTTACAATTAATCTGTTACGGTTCTCATGGAGATGTGCAGGCAGGGCCAAGCTCTTCCAGACAGCAGAGGTGGGAGCAGTATCAGGCAGAGCAGCACTGGCCTCTGCTCCTGTCTGCCATGGGAGGAGAGGTGGAGGGGTTGAGGGAGACAGCCTTCACCGCAGGAAGAAGAAGAGAAGCTCTGTGTGTTTCTGAGCTTGGAGCAGGTCAGTATGTGACCAAGCAATGGGCAAGGAGAGCTTTACGACATCAAACCATTCTTGGATTTTTCCAGCCCTGGGCAGGGCTGGTGCTTGCCTAGCACTGTGAGCTGCCCATGACAGTCTGCTTTTACACCCTGGCTTCGTCTTCAGTCTGAGAGCTGCTGGTCCATCGCTAGTGAGAGCCACTGAGTCACTTGTGCTGGAGTGGGGCCAGCGCTGTGAGTTAGGATTTATCGTGTCTGAGCACATCATGCCTTACTCTCTTCTGTTGGAATCTGTCATTCAGAAATTGCTCCTGGTTGTAAATGAAGTCATTCCACTTACCAGTTTTCTTGGAAACTGCCATTATTCCCAGAACTGCTAAGGGGCTGCGCTGAAAGGAATGTAGGATCAGCAGAGCCCAGGCTTGAGGTCTCCTTGCATTGCGGTGAGTGGAAAGAGTGTAGGGTGAGTAGGAAATTCCCTTTTGGCAGCCCTGGCCTGCGGCAGAGCCTTCCACACATGATGTGCTGGGTGCTAAGCCCTGTCTGCTGGAGGTTTTTTTTTGTAAATCCTAGAGTTATCTCAAAACTGAGCTCTATGACTTTGCAGCTGATTGCAGCAGTAAAGTAGCACAGGGACAGGGCAGTGTGTGATACCCTTCTGCTTTGGTGGCTGAGTCACAGCCCAGTGTGTTTGCTTTTAAGTCATCATGAGTGAGCTGGTGGAAAGGCTCTGACCTGCTGCTTTGGCCACGGGCAGGAGTGCTGGAGAAGAAATCTTCAGCATCACACTAAGAGAGCAGCAGGGTGAGATGGGGTTTGAAGTGGGCCATCCTAAGTCCTGTCTGGATGCTGATGGGGTGGAATCCATGCTGCTTTCTCTGACTTTGCCTGCTTAGCAGTGAGAGAGGCCTGCAGGAGGGTGGGTTGTTTACCTAGGGAACTTGAAGAAGGAAAGATGAACTCTAGTACTTTATTGCAGGGTGTGGACAGGTGCATCTTGGTTTTTATTTTGGAGGACTTGACAGTGAGGTGACATCTGTGGGGATGGACAGGCCCTGTGCTATGGCAGTGTGCCCATTACAGCAGGAGGCCAGGGGTGCTTTCATGAGTAGCACAGAGAGCTGTGAGCAGGAGCCAGAGCGTTCCCCTTCTATTGCTGAGACTGGATTTGGTTGAGGTCAGTGTTTGGGCCAGGAACATCCTGAGCTGTTACTGGACAGAGGCTATGTCTACAGCTGGCTAATAGGTGTGCAGGGAAGAAAGAGCAGGGGGGATCAGTGCTGTGACATCTCTGAGGAACCCCTCTCTTCCCCCAGATTTCAGCTTGCTGAATTGTCCTAGGATAGCTTCAGGTGATTAATACACACGTGTAGACTAGCTGTTCTTGTTCTTCCACTGCTACCCTGAAGTATGACAAGCTATAAATAGGCAGATGGGAGCTGTCTGTCCCTACTAAAATAAAATGAACTAACCAACCCCTGGTGCTGCTTCTATTGATGTGTCTGCTGAGGGATCTGTGTAGTGCTGTTGTGTTATATGGTGCTGGAGAGGGATGTCATGAGCTGGAAGAGAAGCAGATTGTGGTCCTGGGGCCAGAAGAGCCCGGCCCTGGGGCAGCTGCTATTGGGTGACGCCCTAGGGCTGGTGTTATCGCAGGCAGGGATGGAGCTGGACTATGCCCTGCTGTGATAGTAGGCAGCTCAGGGGGAGACCTTTGAGCTCTGCCAGCCTCTGCTGAACGCAGATGTTGTGTGCCCAGCCCAGGGAGCTCCGTGCAGCGCAGGGTGGGGCTGATAGCTCCCCACCACCTCACCCCGGTATGTGACAAGCGCCTGAACCACGATGTGAATCATCGCGAGGTGACCGAGTTCAGAGCTAAAGCTGCCCCGGGGCGGGATTCCGTGGTACGAGCCTCCGTGGGCAGCGCCGTGCCCACCCCTTACTTTCCCCTGTAGCGTGACCCCAGCAGCCTCTCTTCCCCGACGAGACGGAGCTTTTCCCGGCGTCCGGCCTGCTTGTCGGGCTCGGGGCCGGGCGGTGCGGGGGCGACGGGAGGAACGCGGCCGCTTCCCGGCACGGCGGCCGCGGGTGGGGCGATGACGGCGGCCCCGGGGACCGGAGGCGGAGCCGAGGGCGGCAGCGGGCGGAGGCGGCGGCGGTGGCCGGGGTTCCCGGAGCCGGGCGGAGGCGGTGTTGCGGTGCGGGAGCTGTGCGGTGCGCGGCTCGCAGGTGCGGAGCGCGATGCGGGTGGGCGAGGAGGCCACGCACCAGGTGCTGGGCCGGCTGCGGTTCCTGCTGCAGTGCAGCGAGTGCTTCCGCCGCGCCCGGCCGCTGCCCGCCGCGCTGTGCTACGTGCCCCGCGAGGTGCAGTACAAGATCTGCAAGGACCCCGCGGCCGCCGTCTCGTCCCGCAGCCTGCTCAGCGTCTGGGACGGCCCCGGGCCGGCGCGGGGCTCCAAGCGGGCCACCATCGAGGTGCGGAAGGGCGGCTGCCTCCGCGCTACGGGCGAGGAGTACCGAAACAGCGCGGGGCTGTGGGTGAAGCTCCGCAAGGTAACGGCGGGGCGGCGGCCGGGGGCACCGCTGTCGGTTCCGTGCCCGCTTCGGGGGCGGGATGTGTCACTTCGGGCCGGGTGTGCTTTAGGAGCACCTGGAGGAGAACGGGGTCTGTCATGAGCTGGAGGAGGGCTGGGTCCTGGCGCAGCGGTTTGGAGATGGGGGAGATAAGTTGGTACCGGTGGATCCGGTGGAGAAGATCCAGCAGCAACACCAAACCTTTGGAACGGATTACAAACCTGTGGCTAGGTAAGGCCCACACAGCTGCATCCCGCTGCCGTGCAGTGAGACCTAGAGAGGGACCCAACCATTCCAACCCCTTGGCTCCCCCAGACAGCCATCCCTGCTATCCCATTAGTCTATGGAGTGACACCAGTCCTCCCAGTGCTGTTCCCACAGCCCTTGGGCACTGCTGGCACCTCTACACCAGGCTAAGGCAGGAATCACATAGGTAAACCAAGCACTGACCCTCCATTTTCCTTTACGTGATCCCTTCATTTAGCTGGGAACAAGTGGTGGACCTGACATACACCATGCAGTTGGGAGAGAAGCCCGTGTCAGTCGAGCCGGATGAGGCTGTGGTGCAGAAGCTTCGGTACAAGCACAGCTCGCGGAGTGGTGCCACAGTGCCCTGGGGGAGACCATGTCTGCAGGGCTGGGAGGGCAGGTGATGGCTGATGCCTTCTGCATCAGTGCCACCCTGCGATGGCCTTTGCTCCAGGGCCTGTTGGAGCAACTGCGTAGTACTATTCCTGCTGGGCTGGGGTGGCCATAAACACCTGGTATAGTAGTGGAGATGCAGCTGCTCGGGGCCATCCTGTGTGCTGACAGCAGGATGCTGGGGCTGCCTTGATTTGGGCCACGGCGCTGATGGGTGGGTTTGGGGCACAGCGTGGTCTTCTCATTCTGTTAGCACGGATTCCCCATAGGTCGATGCCTCCAAATTGGAGCTATGAGCAGGACATGGAGCTGGGGCGCTTCCTGTATGACATCACCGAGAGGGATCAACACTGCAAGGACTGCTTTAAGGACCACCTCAACAGCATAGAGGTCTCCTCACAGCTGGTGCGTTGTGGGGCTCCATTGTCCCCTACACTCTGCTGTGGCACAGTTTGCCCAAGCATCCCACAGCTGCAGGGAGAATCACCTCCATGAGAGGAAGGGACAGTGGTGGTCTCTGCTGTTTTAGTGAAGCTGCCAGGAGATGGGCATCTGCAGAGAAACCATCCTGGGCATGGCTGTGGTTTGCCCAAAGGTGCTCAGCTTCCTCCCTCTGCTCGTTGCGCTCTTCCAGAATGACTTCAAAATAACCCACCTGACAGACAACCAGGGAGACACCTACTGGGAGAGCAACGGGTCCCCTGGGCAGCACTGGGTGCGGCTCCACATGAAAAAAGGCAGCGTCATCAAGTGAGACCTGAGGATGTCCCTTCCCTGGTGGTGGTTGTGGCAGGGACATAGTCTTCCTCTCGAGCGCAGCTTTCCCTGGGCTGCAGCTCGAGGTGGAGGCTCCTGGAGGACACAGCCCTTGGGACGCCTCTGGGGGCATCTCTGAGCAGCTCGGGATGGGAGGACAATGCTGCATTGTGCTCTTGTCCCCAGGAAGCTGTGGCTGATGCTGAACGCATGCATCAACTCCTACGTCCCCAGGCGGGTGGCTGTGTATGGAGGGCCAGCCAACAGGCTGCAGCACCTGAGAACTGTCTTAATCAATGAGTGAGTAACGAGAGAGGAGCAGCCTCGGCCCAACTCCACCTGCCAGCCCAGCACCTTCATTTCTGCTTCTGAGCTTCATCTATGCTGTGTCAGCTGAGCTGCAGCTTCCTCCCAGCTAGGGGTTTTGGAGGGCATTCCTCCTCTTTCTTGCCTCTGGGGGTGCACCGCTGCTGCTGCCTGAGTGCTTTCTGAGCACCTCTGCCAGGCTGTAGCTGCAGTGCTTTACCTCCCCATCTGCCCTGCATCCTCATAGTGTCTTTCTTGAGATGGGCACCCAGAAGTGTGAATGTTTCCTTCTCCTCCTCCCCCATGACTCGCCTGTTTGTACTTTTTGGATGATTTCTGTTTGAAGAAACACCTGTGAGACCATCGAGGTCCCTTTCCTGGCAGCAGGAGCTGTCTCCACTCTGCATGCCGGCAGCCGCAGTTGTTTTTCCCTGCATACCCATCGGTCTTTGCAGGGACCTTGGCAGAGGCTTCGGAAACACCAGTGAATCACAAACCGACTCACTCGTTCTCTCAAATCACTGCTTCCTCCAAAAACGGACCACCCTCACTGTGCCTCTCTTATTTATGTGGCCAGTTCTGCTCCAACGTCTGTGCTGAAGCAGCCGCTCATGGCCACTTTGCCTTCCTGCCCTGCTTTGTCTTTGCTGACTCTGTGCTCTTTCCTGGCTCTTCTCTGGATGTGGTTCCCACCTCCTTCAGGACATCCTCTATGTCGTGGGCAGCCACTCCTCTCTGCTCCATCCCCTCCTGCTGCAGCCCTGGTGAGCCTTAGGGGCTTTTGCCACTGAGGACTTTAGGATGCTGGCATGCCCTTGGTGGGAACCCAGCTTTGTCTTCACCAGGGCTGTGCCCTGCAGTCTTGCCATTAATCTGTGCTGCCTGCAGGAACAGCTATCAGGATGTATGCATCCTACGTGACATGAAGACCCACATGCCAGTACTGGAGATCCGCATCTTGGAGTGCCGAGGTGAGCTCATGCATGGGGTGAAGCCACCTCTGGCTTTTTCCCTGCCCCACCAGCTGCTTTGTGGGGCCATGGGAGGAAAAGCTGGCATGCACCTACAGCACTGCTGTCCTTCCCTGGCAGAACAAGGGTACAACGTCCGGCTGCGAGGGATTAAGTTCAAGTCCTTCTGGGAGAGGGACTTGAGCCTCAACGCAGACATGTTTCAGGCGGCCCAGCTGGTGCGCTACCCGCTGCTGGAAGGGGTGGACGCAGATGTACTGTACCACAGGGCCATAGTTATCCAGAGGTACAGCATGGGGACAGCAACAGGAAGAACGATGCTCTGGCCTCCAGCATGTGTCATGCTTAAAACCTGATGGCTCCTTTCCTGTGTGTGATATAGATTTTGCCTTGTGGTTCCCCATTCAAGCATAGCTGCTTTCAGTGCCTGGGGGTACTGTGCTTGCTGTGGGGCTTGGAGACCCTACACAGCATCCTCAACTTCTCCTCCCTGGTCTTCAGGTTCATCCAGCTCCTGGACAGTGTCCTGGGGTACCTGATCCCCATCTCCGATGAGAGTGACAGCAGCTTCAGTGTGCTGAGGGTGAGCATTCTCTGGGCTCCTTTGAGATGATGTTGGTAGGACCATAGCATCTTGGGCTGGGTTGGGTGCCCTGGGACATGTCCCCATTTTCTCTGCACTTTTCTTTGAGCCAAGGAAGACAGACCAGGGCTCACTCTGCTGTTCTGTACTTCAGCTGTTGCTGGAGGGATGGGGGAGCTGAGCATCCCCTGTGATGCTGAGGAGGGAAAAAGGGGGCACGTGGGGCAGGATCAGGCCTCTCACCCCGTTGCGTATTCTCCGTTAGGGCATGAAGCCGTTCCTGCAGCTGTGCAAGCTGGGCAAAACCCTCGTCACCCATTGCCTGCAGAGCTCGGAGAGCAGCCCACCTTGCATGCTGCCAAAGCTGCTCATCAACCGGCAGCTGGCCCGTGAGCACCGGGCTCACCCTGAGCTGGACCCTAGTGGCCGGAACACAGTCTTCACCCAGGTACAGCAGCATCAAATCGAGTGCTTGATAAGTTGGCATCATTCAGCATCGCTGCCTCTCCATCCTCCTCCATCATGTTCTTCTGCAGGTGTATGAAAACCTGAAGCCTTCTAAAACCAACAATCATCTCCTAAACTACAGGTGGGTTTTCAGCTTCGTGTCACCTCCCTGGAGCAGGATGCAGGTGATCAGTGCTTCTGTTCCTCTCGGAGGAGGTTTGCACAGGGCTGTTGCTTCCCCACAGGTGGCCTCAGACCCACAGCCAGTGGTGGGAGTGTGACTTCACCACGGAGGGCGTCATTGATAACGGTGAGAGCTCTCCTGTCCCTCCCTGAGCAGAGTTTGGGGGTCTCTGTTGTAATGGTGCCCTGCTCTGCACATGTGCCCCATGGGTAGAGGTGCAGGTAATCAAATCCTGCAGGCTCACTGTGTCCCACACTGCAACCTCTTCTCCTTTGCAGGCGGGGGTTTTCGGGACTGCCTGACAGACATCTCAGAGGAGCTGTGTCCCAGCTCTGGTGATGTCCCCGTGCCACTGCCCTTCTTTGTGCGCACATCCAACCAGGTTTGGCACCCCAGCCCAGCAGCATCCTCCCAGCAGACTCTGGGCAGAGGCTGAATTAGATCTCAGTGCCTCCCCCCCACAGGGTAACAGCAGCAGCGACACCAGGGACATGTACGTCCCCAACCCCTCCTGCAAGGACTTCCCTAAGTACGAGTGGATTGGACAGCTCATGGGAGCAGCCCTGAGAAGCAAGGAGATTCTGGTGAGCGTGGCACTGCCTGCCTGGCTGGCAAACAGTTTTGATGTGGGTCAAATCCATACCACCAGTTCCCCTGCCACCATGTCCCTTGGCTGGATCATCCTCAGCTGGTGCTGGGGTGGGCACATCTCCAACCCCTCTGCAGGTCCTGGCTCTGCCCAGTCTGGTGTGGAAGCAGCTGTCAGGAGAGGAGGTCATCTGGAGCAAGGACTTTGCTGCTGTGGATGTGGAGCTGGTGAGCAGGGTTGGGACCGTGCCCTGTGCTCCCATGGCTGCCTGCAGCTCTGCTGTGACAGCGTTGTCCCTTTGGCTGGCAGGTGAAGCTGCTGGAGATGCTGGAGGAAGTGGACAGGGAGGCCTTCAACTTCATGTTTGGCAAGGAGCTGACCTACACAACGGTACGGAGCGACCAGCGTGTGGTGGAGCTGATCCCAAAGGGTAGCAGCACCGTGGTGCGCTTTGAGGACCGCAAAGAGTTCATCCATCTGGTGCAGAAGGCTCGGCTGGAGGAGAGCAAGGAGCAGGTAATGCCACGGTCCCAGCCATGCAAGGGGATGGATCGCTTGTCAGGTCCTCCAGGTACTCTCTGTTTGGCCTGGTTGTTCACAGTGGGTTGGGGGCCTGCTGCGGTGACATGGCTCTCCTCAGGTGGCAGCTATTCGTGCCGGGCTGCTCCGTGTGGTGCCCCAGGCTGTGCTGGACCTGCTCACCTGGCAGCAGCTGGAGAGGAAGGTCTGTGGGAACCCTGAGGTGACGGTGGATGAGCTGAAGAAGTTCAGTAAGTAGCGGGCAGCATTAAGCTGTGCTCATGGCTGCTGCTCGTCCTCCGCCTGCGTCCTGTCCTGTGTGGAGACAAGTAGTCATCCTGCACCCTGGCACCCCACCTTGCTGTCCTTTTGGAGCTCTACTCACAAAGCCCCTTTGTGTTCCTTGATACAGTCACCTTTGAGGACTTTGACAGCACCCGCATCCAGCAATTCTGGGATGCCCTCAAGAACTTCACCAGTGGTGAGCGACCACTGTTCTGCTCTTCACCCACTGGGCCGGGCCTGCAGGGTCACTTTTTCCCCTGGGAGTGTCCCTTGGCTTTCCCAGCTCTGAAGGTGACCCCAGCTCTGTTCCCTGTCCTTTCTCAGAGGACCTCAGCCGATTCCTCAAGTTCATCACCGGCCGCAGCCGCCTCCCTGTTCAGCTCACCATCTACCCAGACCGGTCCATGTGAGTCTGGCTGTCCTGCAGGCTGTGGTCCTGCCATGCGGACCCCTGACCCATCTCTCCTTTCTCCCAAGCCCTGAGCGGTTGGACATGATGCCTGAGGCCTCCACATGCTCCTGCTCCTTGTTCTTGCCCAAATATTCCTCGTGAGTTTGCCTGGGGATGAGGACGCTCAGCCTCCCCACCATGGGGGGCAGTGGGAGAGTTCGGGGACAGCCCCAGCCCTAACCCGGTGTCTTGCCCTCAGGGTCAAGATATGTGAGGAGCTGCTGCGCTTCGCCGTGTATAACTGCATGTCCATCGACACTGACAAGAACACCTGGGACTAGTGGCAATAAAACCACTAATTGGTCACAGTTGTGTCCTTGGTGTGGAGGGCGCCTTGCGGGGGCTGTGTGTGTTGTCCTTTTCCCGGCCATGGGAGCACCCCCATTCTTAATTCTTCTTGTCTCCGTGATCCTTTGGGTTCACTGGTTCCCTCCCATCTCAATGCAACCAGACTGTGGCTTCCGGCTGCCCGGCTGGAGATAATCCCCCCTTCCTCCTCTCCCCTCCCGGAAATTGTCCCCCTACAGACCACTCCCTGCATTGCATCCCGCAGCCTCCCTACTGTGCAGTTCCACTCCAGGCCGCACGGGGGCGCTGTGCCTCCCCGCAGCCAAACGGCAATCCACGGCTCGGTGATCCCGCGCTCCTCCCCTCGGTGCTCCTTTCACTGACCCGGCCGCCAGGCTGGGAGGTGATCGATCCGATCGGCGCTCTCCCGCCGCTCTCCGACATCGATGCGCTCGGCTCTCCGGACGCATGCGCACTGCGCGCCGGCGCCGCCATTGTGGTTCTGTCAGAGAAGTGCTGGGCGCCGGCGGAGCGGAGGTAACGGCGGGGCCGGGCGGGAGCGGTGCGGCGGCGGCGGGAGAGAAGGGGAGGCCGCGCACGCTTCCGAGCAGCCGAGAGGGGTACAATCGGGCCGGGCTGAAGCGAACCGGTGTAACCCCGGCTCGGTCCGGTGCTGCCGTGGGTGAGTGATGCCGTTTCTGTGTGGCAGATGGAGTTCCAGGCCGTGGTGATGGCGGCTGGAGGCGGCTCCCGCATGACGGACCTCACCTCCAGCGTCCCGAAACCGCTGCTGCCGGTGGGCAACCGCCCCCTGCTCTGGTACCCGCTGAACCTCTTGGAGCGCGCTGGCTTCGAAGGTGAGGCGGAGCCCGGGGTGGGGAAGAGGGCAGGCGGCCCTGCTGCCTTCCTGGCACCACCTCCGTCGGTCGTTCCTCCACCTGCGACTGGAGCCGCTGTTCCCAGCGTCGTGCCTTTTAGCTACAGGCTACGTTCCTGTGCATGCTCCCTTCTCACCCCTTGTCATCCCTCTCTGGCCCCCCACCAAGGCTCTCCTCATCCATACACTTTTCCTAACTTTGGCGTCTTTGCTGATGTTGTTAATCAGAAGTCTTCTCTGCATTTATTTCTGTGAGTCATTAATAACAGTGGTGTGAGCTGCACGTCAGCTCTCTTGGATGGCTCCTGGTGTGTTGTTCCAGTTTGGCCTGAAGTTCAGGGTTATCTGCCCTGTGTGAGGCATTTAGTCATTGCTGCAGAGGGCAGCTCAGTGCTGGGACTCAGGCAGAGCAGCACAGGTGGAGCTGGCAGCCTTGTAATGCTTGCTTTTGTACTTTGCTTTTTTGCTGCTTCTTTCGTTTCTCTTCAGTGACTGCATCGCAGAGCATCTCTTCGACATTCTGTGCTCTGTGTTGAGAATGTGACTTTTTTCCAGACCAATGCTCTTTTCTTTGGAGATGTACCAGTCAGCATGCACGATGTATTCACGTTAGCTTATTACTGTTTTGTTGTCTGAGAACAAAGGGAAAAATAAATGTAGGCCTTTGCCTTTATTTTGTCTTGTTAAGAAATCCTTGAGAACCTTCATGTGTCCTTTGAAAACTTGGCCACGTGAGGTTGCACATGCAGCTTCAGTAAGCAACTAACCACCTCCTTGCTTTTCTTGCTTCTGCTCCCTGACCAAACAGCACATTCTTGTGTAAATTGTGCAGTAGTATGGATTCCTTCCCTGGATCATAATTTTTATTATTTGTTAGGTGGCAATTTGGTTCTTACTACTTGCTTGTGCTAACAAATAGGTATTCCCCAGTCTGATTCACTGCTTCCCTTTTGTCCCAACTGCAAGCACATCATCCTTCCTAATATTTAGGCCTTTGTCCTCCTAGCCAAATTTATGCTGAAATGTGGGCTTACAGCCTCCACCTGACACCAGTTCCATTTCCACTGGTTACTTCTTGCCCCAGTTCTAGCTGGCATCCTGCACAGGAGTGAGAGGAGAGCCCTCCAGTAGCTCTGGTACCAAACTGTCACACAACTCCCATACAGCTCTCCTGTTTACAGTTCTTTTTCTGTTAACAGTTTCAGGAGGACATCATTTTTGACCCATGCAGATATATTCTTACCATGGTTTTGTCGTATGGTAGGAACTTCTTAGGCAAAGGGCTGTACTGTTTGCTGCACTTTGTTTAAAATCCTGTGGAGAATGTAATGGATGGGTGGTGGTTTTTTAATTTTTGTTATTTTCTTTTTAACTTGAGTTTGTGCCTGCTGCTTTTTCTTTGAGGCCAAGGGAAAAGATTTCTCACTTGTTTTGTTTTCTCATTCATTTTTCTTCCTACAAAGCTTCTGTTCTCAAATTCTTTGTTTTTGAAAATTTGCTGTCATGCCACCATCAATGTTCTTCAAATACACTTTTACCTTCTCTTTTCTAGGTGCAATGAGTTTGTTGTTCACAAATGACTCTATTTCTTTGCCAAGCTGGTGATGGCAATAGTTTAACCAATGCATTGCGATGCTGTGCTTGGTGGTGGTGTCCAGAGAGCTATACAGCATTGGGTAGGGTGAAAGGCAAAGCTCCAGAGTGTTGCTGCTGCTTGATCTCATCCCACTTTCCTCTTCTAGAGGTCATTGTGATTACAAGAAAGGAGATCCAAAAAATGCTAAACTTGGACACAAAAATGAAGCTGGACTTTGTGTACATCAGTGACAACGCGGACATGGGTACAGCAGATTCGCTGAGGCATATTCACCAGAAAATAAAGGTATTCTTGTGCTTTATTGACCTTGACTAGAACACATTTGTTTAAACTCACTCCTTTTTTTTTTTCTTTCTTTTTTTTCCCCATTACACTTTAATACCCTGAGAGCTGTGCCACGTAATGCTATTGCAGGTAGCTGAATTTCCCAATCTGCGGAAGCTCTGACTGCTGTGAGATCACCTCACAGGGGAACCCAGACAAGGACTTGAGTAGAAATGATAGTTAGGAAGGCCTGAGCAAATCCAGGCTGGGCACTCGATGCATTTTAGTCCTTGTTAGCTTTCTGGCAGGTTAATAAAGAGGTTGTATTTGCTCATATCATTTTTTATATGGTGTATGTTAGCTGCTGTCCAGTTTGTGCCTGGGAAAGCATTTCTGGAGAGGTGCAGTCAGCTTAGGCAACGCACTGATATGTGAGGAAGCTTAGGCTTGGTCCTTTCCATTAGGCTTCAGTTTTCTGCTTGTAGCAGCTTGGTCATGTGATGAACTCTTAGATAAACAGTGCCCAAGTGTGGTAAAGGGCTACTTACTGCGGTTGGATGCTGTTCTAATAAAAATGATTATTTTTTGAGTTTTAATTTCTAACTGCAGAAATAAAAATGCTGTAGTATAAGGCAGAAATGCTACTTGGAGCTCATACCAGGATCTGGGATGGAATTTTGTTTATGTGGTTGTCATATGCTTAATCTTTCTGATTTGTTCCCTGTCTGTTTAGGCCGTCTTTTGTCTTCTTCAGGCTCTGTTGAAGGTAATAAACTGCAGTATAGCAGGCTGTATACTTCCAAGGTAGACTCCAGTCAAGATAAGAAGAAACTTTCCAGACAAATACGGGTGTCCAGGTGGCACAGTGAGAGAGGTTTTGTAAGGTATCAATGTACAGACTGTAACAAATCAAACTGCAAATGAGGTGTAAAGGGGTAAAACAAAATTAACAGAATTGTAGTTTAACTGATGATTTCTGTCATGTGGAGAGCTGCACTCCATAATAACTCGGCTACTATTTTTTCACGTGTGTGTGCAGTAAGGAAGTCTGTCTGCATGGCAAATTTTGACCCAGGCCTTCCAGTTTTATTGCCTGATCAGAGCAGTCAGCCCAGCAGGCTGGGTTTTTGGCAATGCAGGCAGTTCTGTTAGGGGAAGTCTGAGAGACAGTAGGAAAGTGTGCGGAGGGGTGAGAACATAGACTGTGTTGTTAGAGGAGGCAGTGTTGTGTTAGGGGTTAGAGAAGAAGGGAGGCAACATTCAAAACCAGCCATTTGCTTCAGTAAACTTCTGTGTGTGAATGGCAGCAATTGCTTCTCCCCTTTTTTTTCCTATGTCTAGCTTGACTGGCCAGAGAGAAGAAATAGTGGTCTCTTATTTGAAGTAAGTCTGTACTAAGTTCTTGAGCAGATTGCTGCACTGTGTATTTTGGAGTCATTCCTCAAGCAAATACATACGGGCCCTTTACCTCTACAGGATGTGCCCTCTCCTGTGCAGCAGAGGTGAGGGAGCTGCATGGCAGGGGTAGCTGCCATGAAAAGCTGCAGTCTGTGGTGTGGCAGGAGAGGGATCTCGCTGCAGAATTAGTTTTAACCAGGGAAACAACTGCTGCTTGTGGCCATAGTTTGCTGGCAGGCTTTTTGCAGCCCGTGCCAAAAGCCTGATGAGGAGTTTAAACTGGTTGCTGAAACTTTTATTTGTCGCAAATTGAGTTAATTGCCCACAGACAGAAGAGCAAGTATGCTCAATAAAAATGAGGTAACGTGGCACAACACGGACAGCTTGCCTGTGTGCAGTGCGAGTGACGTGCGGTGAAGCCAGAATTATCAGTGCTCTGTGAGAAATATGCCTAAGGCTAGCTGAACAAATCCCGAGCGTGGAAACGTTGGGCCACTCTGAAGCATGAGGTGTCATGATGTGCTGCCTTGTCTGGCCTTGGGCTGAGTTCCACCACGGAGTGTTGCTGCTTGCTGTGCCTGCTGCAGCCGGTCTTTTTGCTGTGCTACACCTTCGCTAAAAAGGTTTGATGCTGTGAAGTTTAGTTGTCAAAATTAGATTGATAGAATTGCATTCAGATGTAACGTAAGAATGCATGTGTGCAAAACGTGTAACGGCTCAGAGGAGGTGGTTTTCGTTGTTCTGTTGCTTTCTCAGTGCTGGCATTCTGGGAGGTGGGTCTGTCTGTCTGAAGACTGTCCTGTGCATGGAAGCAAGCAACTGACTGCACCAGTCTTACTCTTTCCTGTTGTTCAGTGGTTGCATTAAATTGCAAGGGAAC